CTGCCATCCGAGGGACGGAAAAGTGGCGTACATGAATCCCTCCAGAGCCTTGCGAAGCTTATATAGAGTGGATTGAGATGTTCGCATTTCTCGGTAGTTCTGCATCGCCAGGTCGTTGATGGTGTGGGCATCCCGCCAGCGGCTAGCGGAGTACTCCGCCAGTGCCCGCCCGCAAATTTTCGCAGCCCTGCTGGACGAGTTGTTGTTTTCGTCGTCTTCACCTTGTTCACCGCGCAAAGCCGCCCCTGTCGCATGCGCGTGCTTATCCAGCACGGAAAACAGAAGACGGACATCCTCCATGCCCGCGTCCATGCCTTGGCCATAGAAAGGAGCCATGGCGTGCGCTGCGTCACCCACGATGACGCCAGACGACCCGAAATGGAACGGCCTGCATTTGATGCTGACCAGCGACCGATGCGGGCACTCGCTGAACGATCGGATCAGGGACGTGTCAGAGATGTGATTGCGGACGCCCGGAAAGTTTGCGTCGAAAAATGGCAGGATTCGTGATTCGTCGGCTGCCAATGCCGCAAAGCGGCTCGCTGGCATAAAAAGGGTGCAGGTAAACGAACCGTCCTGAGCCAGTCAGCGACGATGGACGATGAATCTTTTGTTGTGCAGGAGGCAGCCAGATGTCGTTACCTTGTTGGGAGTGGCGATAAACATGGAATCTTCCGCGGGCCAGATGTGCAGGTGGCTCGGTGAGATCTTCCATGCGTGCGCTGTGTCGCCCCGAACCTTGCCAGGCTTCATACGGAGCTCGCACCAGAGGACATCGAGGTACTCGTGCTGGTAGTCCATGCGAGAAATCTTCATCATATGGTAGCGGACAGCAGAGTGCGCGCCGTCAGCACCGACCATAATGTCAAACTTGACCTCTATGCTCAGGGAGAGCCAGTCTCGATCCTCCACCAGGGCCGTGCAGCTATGAAAGTCGACATGGATGAGCTTATGGTTGAAGAATAGCTTTACGTTGGGAAGCCCGTCGAGGCAGTCAAGAAGGTTGGCATTGAGAGCTGCCCGATCGATGGCGAAGTTGGTCTGCCACAATCGGCCGTTAGCTCAAAACATCAGGTCGCTGCTGCGACTGGCCGCCACCTACTCTCCCCAAGGCATCGAAATCCTGAGATACCTCGTAGAGGTCCCCGGACACCGTTTTTCCGTGGGTCATTCTGCCCCGCATAGGCACGGAGGCATCAAGGACGCGTTGGAGGAGCTCTGGCTGCCCCGCGTGACGCAAGGCGTTCATGCCGCGCTCCGAGAGAGCGAGGTTGATGAACTTTCCGGGGCTGAGGCGGCCAACGCCAGGATCACGAAGATATGTGGACTGTCAGCACTTGAGTAAAATGGGAGAGTTGTGAGGCCGGCACGAGGGCTTGCCTGAAAGAAAGACGTACCTGGGCGTAGCTCATAGACCTCAACAACGTAGCCTCGCTGAGCGGCATAGAGCGCTGCCAATGCCCCAACCGGGCCGGCACCGACAATGACCATTTTCTGTGGGCGCGTCATGATAGCAGTGAGATGATGAGACGAGCCGCCAGTCGAGCGCTTGCGGTCAATCGAGATTGCTGATGCAGGAGAGCGATTGCTGAGAACGCAAAAGGACAGTATTCGCTGCGGAAATATATGTGCGTGCTGCACGAATGTAAGAACAAGCTCAAACTATATTTGATACAGTACACACCTAATCGCACTCAACAACGCCTTTTTCTGACGTCAAAGCCGGAATCCCTTTCGTAGCTGATTCTGGCTGCTAGTTGTCCATCACGCGCTTTCCGACACGGCTTTCTTCCGTATACGGGCGGCCCACGATGGAGCACGCTCGGCGGCAAGTTGTTACCGCATCAGGAGCCCATACTGCCTAAGGCATCAATGTTATGGCAAGCCGGAAAGCGACTTGAACTAGGTACGTTCCTGTTCGCAGGTTGCTCCAGAGGCGCTACGGTACCACTGCTCAAGTTCATGATGAACGCGTCATACGATGTTCTTGTCACTGCATCATCTGGCCATTTCAGCGCAGCACTGATGCTGAATCTGCCGTCGCTTGGTTTTAGGCCGTTTGGCGTCGACATCCTGCCCTCTGCGACAACGAACCAGACCGGCAGCATCACGTCGAGCGAGTTCATATCCTCTATCCTCTGCGGCAGCCGCATCAAACATACCATACACGTCGCCACTCTGCACAAACCCCACGTGAAAGCCCACTCCAAGCAAGAATTCGTCGATACCAACGCCTCTGACTCGCCCTTCTTGAACGGCCGCGGAACTAGTGCCTCAGATCGAGAGTTTCTCGTTCATAAGCACTCCTAGCAGCTTTGGGGCTGCGCTGAGTCCGCCGCCGGGATCGCGAGTCTGTGGTGTCTCGGCCGAAGAACAGATATGGCGTGACGAAAGTCGTGGCAGAGGATTTGTGTTTTCTGAAGCAGAAGCAGACTGGCCTCCTTGTTTTGTATAGAGGGCGACAACCTTAACGTGATGTAGTTGGCGTACCGGCGGGTCGACATTGACGATGCAGTGGCTGCGTGTGTTTGTGCGATGAAGAGGGCGAGGAGACGTTAGTAGGCTCGGACAAAGAGCCGCAGGCAGTGATACAGCGAGTTTGTCCCGCGGTGGAGAATGTCTTGAAAGAGAAAGGCTGAAAATATCTGCGTCGTCTGGATAGATGTACGATTCGAGAAAACCTATGGAGGTGCTGGGAGGCCAACCGGAATATAAATTTCCAGCAGCGGCCAAGCTTCTCGTACAGGGTCACGACATTGCAGCTCACCGGCTACACGAAGCAGGAATGCCCCTAAAAACTGCTTCTGGAGCAGACTTTGTTTCGCTTTGGCCTCTCAAATGGAAGATTCCATGTGAGGTTTCCGGTGGCACCCCCCATTCACACACTACAAAGGTCTTAGGCTGAATTCCACACAATCCAAAATGCCAGAGCCACCTCGCCCTTCATTATTATGGTCGTCATTGCCTAGGACCGGTTAGCACGGCCCATAAACTATGAAGGGTAGACTGACAATACTCCCATAGGTTCCACAGATGTACGCACGGCCATAGCGCTCTGTTAAAAACTTGCATCGAGTCGGTTGGCATGCCTCCGGTTGGTCTGATGAACATCACGTCTCTCCGGGTCGCGCCGCCTTCTGGGTCGCAAGTCGCCGGATTGACTTGGAACAGCATCTTCAGGCCGCCATATGTCACTGTCGAAGAGATTCTTGTGGGTGTGGCTAAACTAGTATGGACGCCGCAAAAGCTGAAAACCTGATTCATCACTACGGCAGATTTCGACACTGGCTGCCCGGTGGTATAGCAAGAAGTAGCAGTTGCCACCTGTGGAGACCGTGAGGCCGCGGCAATTGTGGCATTTCCCGTCTTAGCTTGGGTACTTGTCGATGAAAGCCCTGTCGGCGTTGCTCTAGTGGCTCCCCCTATGCCCGAGAGAGGCGTCGTGCAAGTTGTGACAATTTGTTGCGGTGGTGGGTCTTTCACAAGGTAACCTCTGTCGTATCGGAACCCCGACGGTGCGGTACTTTCATATACCACTGTATACGTGTTAAATGCGAGGATCGTGTTGATATCTTCCACACTGAGTGTGTTCAGAGATTTAAACTCATCTGCAACATTAGTGCCGAGCATCAAGACCTCATCGCCGCAGTCAGGCACCCAAAGAGCCGTCTGCTGGGCTACAGCGAGTGCACCGCAGGTGATTACCAGCGAGGTGGCCTTCATGCTTCGGTTCGCGGGCTCCAAATTGTTCGTCTCCGTCTGATGATATATTAATACATACAGCACTTATTCTTTGTGGGAATATAAGTCTGTAGACTTTGTGCGATGACCGCTGCTCTCAGCCCATTCTGGCTTACAAAAGCATTGCCAACCAGATAAGGTCGTGCCATATTAGGCTGCTACAGGCGCGTGCGCAAATGTGGCAGTTGATTTCACAGACTTTCCTGAAGAGTTTCTGACTTGATTTGGGAATGAACTTCAGAGCCAAGAATGCCTTCTGCAGTATGGCGAGCATTTTCTTCGTCGGAAGAAACAGATTAAGAGACAGCTACAAGCACGAAGTGGCTACAGTTATCAGCTTTCTACCCCGCTGCTAGCGGGTAGCCCTCCACCAATCAGCTGGCTGAGGGTAGCTTAATCGGGACTGGCTTCGCAAGCCTTACCATGTTTTGCGCCTCTTCCCGCTGCTAGCCAGCACCGCAAAGTAGGCAGGCCCTCTCTCTCAGCAGTAAGTGGCCACGGTGATGAAGATGAGCTGCGGACACTGCACAATAAAAGGTGTGGGTAAATAACAGCCCAGCTATTATATACCGAAAATGCTTCTGTCAATGTACATATTTAGGAAGCACAATTCATGCAGGGTAGTATAGGTTTAGCGTCCGCAAACTGATCTTAGTCAATGTTGATCAGTGGCCTCGTTCTGCTGAGACAGACCAGGCCGCCCGCGCCTGCCCCACCCGCCCAATTTCGGTTTTTTTACATCGAAATTGGGGGACGCGGTGAACTGGGGTGTACCTGTTTTGCGAACAAGCCACGAACGATGGCGGATTCCGCCGGCGCACGGAGCCTTCTGACTGTTCCAAATGCTCTTCTACTTATCGTCATAGTCAAAATTGGACTCTCGGCCTGGAGTAGGTGATCACAGTCTGCTATGTCGTGGAACCCACAAGACGCTTACATTTGACGGTCGTGATTGATAGAACAGATGATCCGGGAGGTGCTTGCATATA